TGTGGTTTTTAATGAGGAGAACTTTTTTGTAATCAGACTCTCAAAGTATATAAAAATTTGGATATAGATTTGCATCCCTACGTTGGTGTTTGAATCGTGTTCATGATCTTTAACGATCTATTAAATTAAAGTGCTTTGTCAGGTTGGTGGTGACACCTCTCTTGCAACATGTTTAGCTATCACAGATATTATACTTCCCTTTTTTTGGCTTCTGATCGCAAATGTAGCCAATCTTTGGAGCGCTTAGATTAGCGAGCAAGGTCCTGGCAGATCGCTAAGTCTGGTCCTCACAGATGAAGAAAAGAAAAGCGCATAGGAATCGAAAGGCGGAATCAAAATTTTATTTTGACAACAAGTATCCGATTCCTGACCTTAAGGATCCGATTCTGGAATCGGAATGGATTTTCGATTCCCAACCCTACTCCTGGTTAAACACTGTTGCGGGTGGTTAGTGAGTAGGACACAGCATATTTGCACAAAAATCTAGCGTGCAAAAGTGGTGCAACCATTCAGTTAATTCTCCTCTATTGTGCGTCTCTATTTCGCAACAGAGAGTTGGGACCCAAGATCTTTTCCCCAGTCAAGTCCACCATTTTCCCTCATTCTGAACACATTCGTGCCATTTGTATAGTAGCATTTGCTTGGTGGGATGCCGTGTGATCCATATGCCGTAGAGCTGTTCAGATTAATGGACGGTACATATGGCATGTTCACTTTCCCTCTTGTGCTGTTTTTACAAGGGAAAACCTCTCGGAGCAGAGAGAGAGAATCACTGGGACTCAGTTTCTAGGAAAAGTGTTCTATTTTAGATTTATAATCTTCAGGTGAGGATCTGTTTCAAACACACATGCAGAAATTGCTTGTTTTTCTAGATGTCCAAAAGTATGTTCTTGGTTATCTGGCTTGAGCTTGTAGGATTTGTGATATCAGTTAACTAATTGAAAGAAGTTGTTCACTCCACAGTAAATGCTGTCATTATTTATTTGTCTTGATGTCTTCCCAAACCTGCATGCTGTTAGTTTTTTTTCTTTCTTTCTGGTGAACACAAATGGACTTTATTGCATATTATCACCTGAGAACCTCTCGGGACAATCAAGATGGTCTATTTTGAGTTCACTTTGCTTTAGATTAGTTTGGGTTTGTTTGGAGCACTCACAAATTCTAATAAACCATTTCTAGACCCCTGAAAAAGTGTGAAAACCCACCAAATTTTCAATGATGGTTAGATTTTGCCACAATGATGACATTAAATGCCATGATGGAAAATCTCTGTTACTGTCCACCCATTCCGTGAGCATTAGTATTAAATCTACTTATATTTTTATAGTCCATATAGTACTGGCTAGAGATGTCTATTTCCATGCCGAATGAGTTTTCATTTTAAATAAGCCCGTCTCAGCAACATTTCCAGTTTTTGTTGTTGTTCAATTTTTTTGTTTACTGTAGCGACTCGGAGCACTTTTCATACCCTTATTTATGGCTGAAGCACATTTGTTTCAATCTATAAGAATAATCAGCCTACACTACCAGTCAAAAGGTTTTGAACAGTAAGATTTGTAATGGTGTTTTTTATTTTTAAAGAATTCTCTTCTGCTCACCAAGGCTGCATTTATTTGATCCAAAGTACAGCAAAAACAGTAAAATGTTGAAATATTTTTACTATTTAAAATTGCTTTCTATTTGAATAGATTTTAACATGTAATTTATTCCTGTGATCATACATAGCTAAATTTTCAGCATCATTACTCCAGTCTTGTGTCACATGATCCTTCAGAAATCATTATAATATGCTGATTTGCTGATTATCAATATTTAAAACAGTTGAGTAAAATTTTTTTCAGGATTCTTTGATGAATAGAAAGATCCAAAGATCAGCATTTATCTGAAATAAAAAGCTTTTGTAACATTATACACTATTCCATTCAGTATAATTTTTTTGGGAAAGAAATTATAGAAATTAATACTTTTATTTAGTAAGGATGCTTAAAATTTATCAAAAGTGATGATAAAGGCATTTATAATATTACAAAAGATTTCTATTTCAGATAAATAGTGTTCATATCGATATCGGAATTATATCGTATCGACCGGAATTAAGAAATATATCGTGATATCAATTTTGGCCATATTGTCCAGCCCTACCCTTGCCAAGTGCTCTTCCATTACTGCTCATCTCCCATTATCTTATGCCTGATTCCCAGCTGGCTAATCTATTTCCATGAATACCTCCCGGAATAGTATAAGAACAGCCTGTTTTATTGTTTAAATAAATAATAAAAAAAGTTTGAATATAAGCTATAAAGTTGCCAATTGGTTTTGTCTTTTCAAGACATGACGAGTTGTTCTGGTAGTTTTAGTGGACGTCTGTGCATCTGCACTCACATAGATACATCAGTGCTCGTTACATCTTAAAATTATGTTGCATTTTAGAAACGGCACAAGCCTTTTCAGGAGACATAAAAGAAAGTGGAAGAAAGGGAACATAAAACCCAGCTATGATCCCTTTTCCATTGACTTCCCACTGCTCCCTGTGAACAGAACTGACTTCCTCCTGTTTTTGTTTGAAGGCTTGAAATCTATGAAACGGAGAATCACAGATAATTTTTCCCCTCAAACCGTGTCTTTTTCCTTCGCTTGTTTCTGCTGTCCTCCATGAGTTTCCCTGGGTTCATTGCTTTGTGCATTATTCAATCTGTCACTGCCAGAATAAGACGCAGTATTTGACATCAGCACACTTTCCCTTTTTTTTTTTCTAGTTTATGGTCTGGAAAATCTGCAAAAAAAAGAAAAATTCTGCGACGAGGCACAAAATCACTCTCACTGACTTTTTCATTAACTGTTCCCTCCTGGTGGAATGACCTGCCCAAATCAATCCAAGCAGTTGAGTCCTTAGCCGTCTTCAAGAAACAGCTAAAAATACATATCTTCCATCTTTATTTGACCCTCTAACGCAGTGGTTGTCAACCTTTTTTTCCACCGGGCCGCACTATGGTCCAAGTGCAAGTCTCGCGGGCCGCACGCATATCATTTACATATTACGTCAGCAATACAAAACAACCTGATTTATAATATTATAGCCTAAATATTATGATATCTAATCGATTACATTCATTGAAATAAATAAATAATTCTACTCCCCATAAATAACACCCAATTTTGTGAACTTCGGCTCGAAAGGAGTAACAGCACAATCATAGGCGGAGTTTCACTTTTATGCGTGGGGGGGGGGCACCCACTGGCAGACGAGCCACGAGCACTTTTTTATATGTTCTACATTTCATGTATTTATGTAACACATATTCTACATAAAAAAAATAATTTAGAATGAACAATAACTGCTGTACAAAGAGTAAAAAAAAACAAGAAAAAAAGATACACGCCTACGTCTCCTTTGATCAAAAATAACAGCTAGTGCAGTGTCTGCGATATACGTAAACCTACCAACATCCGTCGCCATGACTTATCGCAAGGAAAAAATTACATTTTAGTCACAACATTGGTTAATGGAAATGCCGTCATTTCGCAATAGTTTTTTATCGACCTTTATAAGATATCACAAGGCTAAACTTGGGGTTTCCAGCCTGCATCTTTTTGGTTACTAGCCCAGATATTACCTGCACTACTACTAGCCTGTGGTAGTGCTGTCTCTGTTTGAAGAACTCAATGATAACCTTGACAACTGGCCAGCTGGACCAATTACATTCAGTTAAATTGAATAAAGTCACTGTTCAGTTCACTTCTACTGTAGTCTCAGAAATGCATTACATCACAGAAGAAGAACGGAAATCTGCCATTAACCTTGCGTTTTGTTCTCAGAGTGGGTAGCGATTGGTTTCATTATATCTCAGTAGGTGATTTTCCTCATCACAGATTCTGAACTCTATGCTGGGGGCTCAGATTTGTTACACATGGAGAAATTGATTCAGCAGAAGTGATTTCATTGGCACATCTCGGTGGTCGTTGGTGCTGGAGACACAATGCAGAAAGCACACTTACTTAGCTCTGTGTGTGTGTTGGCTCGTGTACTCACATCTGTGTTTGTGTATGTTGCTAAGCTGCTACCTCCACAGGTTGCTGACTCATTAAGTCACTGTTTGCTAGTGTGACCTCATGAGAGATTGCGGTTGTGTTGCTGCCGGGTTTAAGTTCACAATGGACAATCGCGATGAATATGTTTGATGGCTAATTTCATTGTTCTCGAAGTCCCATCATGGAATCAGGCAGCTCTTCTCCCGTTACTGACAGCTGACGGGAATTAAATCTCTCTGTGTGGTTGAATGCATATCAGAGTTTGTTTTTGTGTTTTAATGGTGCTAACAGCTTGTTTGAAACTGATTCTCTACTGGAAAATGCCTGAGCGCTTGGCGTAATTATGCAACGCACGGTTGCATAATTATGTTCTGGAGTTTCCAAATGTGAATTTCCAAGCGTGGCTGATATGTCTTATATTAGACTGTCATGACGGCTTTAGTATTGATGCTTAGATGTTTCTTAGATGTCAGAACAGGCGGAGTTGAGTTTTCATGTTCGTGTTTTGGAGATTTAGCATGTCAGATTGATGTTTATTCAATGGTGTTGTTGCCAAATACACATTGTTAAATATTATTTTAAAAGCTTTTCCATTCTCGTTCAGTCAATCAGTCACACCATGCGAGCGAGACGGAGGATCAACACGATTTTCGGACGATTGGCATGTGATTCTGAGATGACTTCTGTTTGGATGCAAAATTAAGTGTACAAAGCGTGACGGACTGGGACAGATTAAAACTTCTGTTGTCAGAGGCCTCATTAATGATGTTTTCTAGGGTCACTGGTCATGAGTGATGCTTGCCCTATTTCAGGTGTCCCGTGTTGATTTGTTTTTGGCATTGTCGACCATTCGCGTCTGCTGCTGTGCTTGGTTGACTTGATTGTTTCCGTCCAGTTTCTCCAAACTCAAACCAACTGGAACGTGATTTTTTTTTTACGTGACTATTTTTGTTCTCTTGTTATTTTTGCAGGAGCTCTCTAGTTGTGGCTGGAACAAGAAGGAGAAACACAGTTCAGCACCCAACGCTGTGGCCTTCACACGACGCTTTAACCAGGTAAACCACAGACACTTTTTGTTGTTGCCCCATTAATTGGATATAGACAGTGATTAACTGTAGACTTGGAGCTGAGGAGGTTGAAATAAACAAAACTGGAGAATTGGAATTCGCAATTGCTGTAAGCGTCTGTCTGAGTAAGTGAATTATTACTAATTAAAATCAACTAAAGATTAAAGCACTTTGGCAAGGGTCAGTGGACTGGCAGGGGGCATGGTGGTCACATTGTTGGCAAATTAAATAAACATGAAGATAGTTATAGTTTAATAACCTTTTATAATGGCAGCAGCTTATAAAACAACACAAATATGAACAAATAGTAATAAAAAAGATTTAAAGAAACATGCAATTCTTTGAGAATGAAGGGATTTAAAAAATATTAGGAAAAACGGATTTTATATAAGTCAAATAAATTAATTAATTTAGACTATATGTGACCCTGGACCACAAAACCATGTACCAAAGGGTACATTTTTTAAGCTTTCCATTGATGTATGTTATGATAGGACAATATTTGGCCGGGATACAACTATTTGAAAATCTGGAATCTGAGGGTGCAAAACAATCTAAATACTGAGAAAATTGCCTTTAAAGTTGTCCAAATTAAGTTCTTAGCAATGCATATTACTAATCAAAAATTAAGTTTTGATATTTTTACGGTAATAAATTGACAAAATATCTTCAAGGAACATGATCTTTACTTCATATCCTAATGATTTTGTCATAAAAGAAACATGGATCATTTTGACCCATACAATGTATTTTTAGTTATTTAAGTGTTTTTAGCTACAAATATACCCGTGCTACTTAAGGTTTTGTGGTCCAGGGTCACAAATGGATGTTTTGTTACCATTCCAATCCATCAAAAAGTACTGGGTAGAGAATCCAAAAGAGTATGTATAATGTTAGTTGGCTTAGTTCATTTAGCAAATAGATATTTCCTTCAGTTAATTTCACACTTAATTATGCTCATTAAAATCAATGTATTCTACAAGCTTTTGTTACTTGCACTGTTTATTTCTTTCGTCTATGGTACTTCATCTTTAATTTAGTAGCACATTAAAGCTGTATTTGTGTGGAATGAGAGAGACGCGCACAGTGTAGCCTAGCACATTTCACACAGGCTGCTAGTTTCACTTTCACTTTAAATAAGTTGTGTATGCTTGATGTTTAAAATAAATGTTGTTTATAGTGAATGCCCCTTTAATTTTGGTTTGTTTTATATTTACGATTTAGTTTTAATCCAAATGATGCATGTACTATGTGAGCGATTCAAATCCTTCAGAAAACTAAATAAAAGTTCAAATTAAAAAACAAAACAAAACTTTTTTTTAAGTGTTATGTTCACCAAGGCTGCATTTATTTGATCAAAAATATATAGTAAAAATTGTGAGAATGTGAAATTTTATGTCAAAATTACTTTTCTACTTGAATATATTTTAAAATGTAATTTATTTCTGTGATGCAAAGCTGAATTTTCAGCAGTCATTCATCTTCAGTGTCACATGATCCTTCAGAAATCGTTCTAATATGCTGATTTGCTGCTCAAGAAACATATCTTCTTGTCAAAAAACAGCTGTGCTGCTTGATATGTTTGCAGAAACTGTGATTTTTTTTAATATATAGTTTTTTGTAACAATGTAAAAGACATTGCAGTCACTTTTGATCAATTTAGTGCATCTTTGCTGAATAAAAGTATCTATTTATTCTCTTTTTAAGAAAAACTTTTTTTTTATAAGAAATTTAATTTCTTTTTACCCCAAACTTTTGAGCAGTAAAGTGTGGTTTCTGAAACATACTTTTCAAAAAAAAAAAAAAACGCTAAACTGGAGACACTATTTGCACATTACATTTTTAAACATTATAATCAGTAGCTTTTTAATTTACTTTTTTAAAATATACTTTTCCATTCAGAATTATACTTGAACATGTGTGTGGTCAGCCAGTTTACTACGACAGGAAACATGTTTATTGTTTCTGTGGCCACATGTATTGGAGAGTAGGTTTGTTTTAAATAAAAACTTCAAATCCTACAAAGCGGAAAATAAGGTTTCCAAGTGGTTTGTGTTATGGATTGGGCATTAAAGTGCAGAAAAGTGTTGATCCAGGTAATGTTCGGGTCATGAGGGGTGGAGGCCTCTCTAGTAGCTCAGCTTCCAAGGGCTGGCATGCTTGTAATGCACTGGCTGAACATGTTTGCGAATGAGTATGTTTCTGGCCAAATTCTCTTGACTTTATTGCCTTGGATTGGCTAAGTTGGAAAATTACGTCGCTGTCAAGGTTCTTGTTAACAGAATTTGGACTCTATGCTAACACAACACGTTGTGATTGTATGTCACAGTCACTCCAGGTGAGTGAGACAAGTGGGAAACTAAACTTGCATTTACATTTTGGCTCTACTGTGAGCAGGTAATGGCAATGTTTGAAAAGCTTATCACTGTGCTGAGGCCTGTGCGAAGATGTTGGATGCACACCACTAGGGCTGGGAAACACTGACTTGATCCAGTTGGCCTTTGAAGAAATATGTGGCCCCCTCGGAGTGTGTATAAGTTTCTGTGTGCAATCGTTGCTTCATAATTGGCAGAAGCTGACAGTGTGTAACCAGAAGGGAATGATTATTGATTAAGCTTATATGCAATGCAGAAGTTGTTTTTGCACCTCTCCACTTTAAGACTTAAACACACCCTCACAGACACAGACTTTCTCCCCTGATAATATGGCTAGCGCTCTGTAATAAATATGAGAATATCCGTGAGGAATTTGTGTTCTGTGGAAACTTCTCTCAATATACATCCTGAAAACGGCTAAAGCGGCTGTTCAGGAACCCACACGCACTCGCCTGCCAACACAAATGTACTTTCTGAAGGATGATACTTGGAAAGGCTAGAACAAAACATCCCAAAAAGACTGGAACGTAATGTCCTAAGGTTACTGAACTATATAAACTATAACTGAACTATAACTATTTGAATGATTCAAGACTCACTCCTACAGGAAGTCTTGTTTTGTTCCTGATGTTGAATCAGCGCTTTTGACCAAATTGGTTGAGTGACTATTTCAATGACTTACTTAAAGAAAGTCACTAGTTTAGTTTCATCATTCATACTGAACTCTTAACTATATAAACTGTCATTGAACTATATGTGTTTATATTAGTGCTGTCAAAATTAATGCGTTAATGCAGCCGATTAATTTTTTCAGTTTAACGTGTTAAAAATATTTAACACCATAAACGCAGGGGCGGAGCTAGGATTGGCCACCCTACTCGCAACTGCTTCTTCTGTCACTTTTTCTCTTGAAAAGAAGTGCATTTATTCAGTTGCAGAATGTCTTTACGACCACATCAAACAGGAGATGTTTCAGACATGTACTCCAGCTTCACCTCAGCGCAAGGTGTGGGTCAAACGAGCACAGAAACGGTACTGTGCTCGCAGCGCAAAGGCACCAGTACCCGCTGTAGACTTTATCATTTCATATCAAAGCACGAAATAAACTACGTGCATGCAATGTCGTCGTCAGTTACAGTAAGTCATGAAATTACCAAAAAGGTGGAATAAAGCTGCCTTAAAACTGTGCATGCATGTAATATATTTGATATGAGTCACATTTAAGAACATGTCTCTGAAATGGTCTTCCAAACTGTCCTGGAGCAGCCCAGCAATGTCTCCCTCATCTAACAACCACGATTCAACTCGTCAGCTCATTAGTAGAGACGAAGTGGGTCAGAAAAGGTAAGGAGAGTTGATAAAAAATACAATACCTGTCAGATCTGCGTCACGTTCAGCAGCGGCAGCTCTTAAAGAAATAGCAGCCAAA